GATGTGTCTTGAATTCAGGAGAGCGGGAACTAAAGGGACGCTATCCAGAGCGTCGGTTTTGAAAGTCAGTCGGTTACGATTCGTTGGTGTGCACGGACGTAAACTTACGTTCTTCCAAATTCAAACAAAGGACTCTATTATCATGTTACTTTGTGCACGGACCGGAAATTACATCAGCTAAATTTAAAAACAAATGGTTCAGCCAAGTATAAGTAAATAAAGAAATAAATAAATTAACAGGCGAGTTTGCGAATCAGCAAGTCATTTAACTGTCATATTAATGTACGTGTTGTAGTGATAAGTGTGAACGGTTATCAAAGAAATGGTGCCAAAATAAACCAGAATCATGTTGTACGTGTGCATTTGATCGCTTCCCTGTGCTCTTCTGAGTTAAGGTCCTGTATGCGATCCTGAGGATAGATCTCCTTGCCCTACCTACTGGCTAGCATAAAAAAATAAAAACCCTGAGAAAGTAAAGAGTGCTACAACAAGGAGAAGACGAGCGACGCTGCAACAGGTAAGGCGAGGCTGGAAGTTGCATCGCATCGCACAACAAGAGGAACGGTGAGAGAAAAGAGGGCACCTAACAGTGATTCTCGAGAAGCTCTAGACGGAAACAGGTGAAGTAAGAAAGGGGCGGGCATAAAATAAACCCTAGGAAAAAAATATGACATGTCATGAAAATCCGGGCCCTAGTTATCAACCTTTCATCATTTTGAAACCTAGAAGTTATTTCCATTTTTAACTGAAAATTAAGCAATTGCATTTTCATCTCCATAATCATTACTTTTCACTATTTTAACTGAACCATCCTCATCTTTTACTATATCAATTATATTTTTACTTTTTACTATAGTAAAATATAAGTCAGGGGCAAAGAGCACCATTCTATACGATGAACCGTTATCTTTGTAATCTGCATCAACTTCGGTTTCTTTATAATATAAATAATTAACACATGTTACTTTAAAGTCGCTGCTAGTGGCTTTCTCTATAACATGAGTATCAAGGCTTCTTCCAAACTTTTCAATGGCCTTACTGTGATCTATCTTAAAAATGTATTTCTTTTCACTTATAAATCTCTCAATAAATTTACAATTATCAATATTATAATGTCTATTAGTTAATTTATTACTAAACTAGCATATACTACAATTATAATAACAGATATCATTCGCATAAGCTTGCGTTGCTCTGCTATGCAAGTAGTGCGACACATGAACATTGCAATTACAGGTAATTTGTGGTTGCAGGTGCAAGTCTCTGCTACTTTCATGAAAACCTTTCTTGCGAAGGTTGCATTCAGTAATCTCTATGTTTAAGAAATTTACTAAGCGGGGAAAAAAGGCAAAAGGAGCCCTAGTCAGCATCTATTTTCAGTATTGGCGTTTTTTAAGTCTTAAACGCTGCAATTTAGCTGCTTTTAAATGCAACTAGCCTAAGCTATAATATTTAAGAAATTTATCAGGCAGAAAAAAAGACAATAAAACCCCGAGGTAGCTAATTATTCCATTCTCTGTTTTAAAATCCGGTGTTGGGTGATGTCTTAAATGACTTATAAGCGCGTTTCAGCTTGAAAACCAGGAGTTTTAAAAATACATGCAGTGTACATAGTGCGAAAAATTAAACAATATTACGCCAAATAAAAGTTTTCTTGTCATTTTAACCAGCACAGATTGGAAAGTTAAATATATAGCTTCAATGCTATGATAAGGGTGACGGTGAAGATTGTCAAGTAGTTTTTTTTATGTTTGGTATGCGCCTAGCGCGCTGCTAAAAGCTATGCGAGAATCTGATATTTGTAAGCGATTGACCTTGCTCGCAAAGAAAGCTAATATCTAAATAAATTATTACCTGATATGAAAACTGACATTGTAATAATAGGTGCAGGACCTGTTGGAATATTCACTGCTTTTCAAGCAGGAATGCTCGATATGAAATGTCATATCATAGATGTTTTGGATCAAGCGGGAGGGCAATGTACCGCTCTTTACCCAGAAAAACCGATATATGATATACCTGGTTATTCTATAATTACTGCTCGAAAGCTAATTGAACAATTAATGGAGCAAGCTTCGCCATTTGAGCCTGTTTACCACCAAGTCAAAAGGTGGAAAAAATCTCGGATGACGACGGTAAAAACTTTACTTTAATAACGAACATAGGCACAGAAGTGAAGTGCAAAGCTGTTGTCATTGCTGCAGGCAATGGAGTGTTTGAACCTAACCGCCCACCACTTAGCGATATATTAGAATATGAAAATAAATCTGTATTCTACAGCGTAAATAAAATTTCTGATTTTCAGTATAAGACTATAGCACAGGCCTACTATTCAGCATTTGGTAAATGCGAGCGCAAAGATTATTATCATATCACATTTTGGACGCCCAAAAGCCAAAAACAATAGTTTGTCACTAAAAAATATAGTTGAAACTTTATCGCAGTTATTAAATAAAGAGGTAAAGTTTGTTAATGATTGCATTGGCGAAAAAGTACAAAAACCAGTAAATGAGGTGGACGGAGGGGATGTAATATTACTGGAAAATCTGAGGTTTTATAAAGGAGAGGAGCAGAATGACTCGAATTTTGCTAAACAACTAGCATCACTAGCAGATATATATGTAAATGATGCATTTTCTTGCTCTCACAGAGCTCATGCTTCTATTTCACGTGTTACAGAATTTTTGTCTTACTATGCAGGATTTTGCTTACAAGATGAGCTAATGTATCTTGAAAAGGCCATATCATTTAATGCTAAACCTATTACTGCGATAGTTGGGGGAGCTAAAATATCGACTAAAATAAAAATGCTTATAAAACTAGCAGAAAAGGTCAATTATCTAGTTCTTGGTGGTGCAATTGCTAACANGCATATTTACTTATACTTTTTCTTCAACCCTGAAGATGGGGGCGATACGTTCCTCCGAAACGTCGGTTAACACCACATATACACGGTGCCAAATCCCAGAAGACTGCTTTCTTCAATTTTTTGTTGTTTAATAGAGTGAATATCGGCAATCTTTCTTTCAAAGCGGCGTCGTTGATTTTCTTCATAATGTTATTGAAACAGCAAATAAAAACAATTGCAAAATAATTGTGCCTGAAGATGTTTTGGTTGCAGTAAACTCTGATTACAGCACTGGCATTTTAAGAAACACCGAATCCATTTTGGATGATGATGTAATTTTAAATATCGGCTCTAAAACCTTGGGCACGATAAGCAGTATGGTAGCAAGCAGCAAGACTCTGCTGTGGAATTGACCTATTGGTGTCTTTGAACATTCAGCTTTTGCAAATGGCACAATAGAGGTGATGAAAATCGTAAGTAGTTTGACACAATAAGGAAAATTAACTAGCGTGATAGGGGGAGGAGACAGTTTATCTGCAATAAATGCTGCAGGTCTTACTGATAAAGATTTTACGTATGTTTCAACCGATAGAGGTGCGTTTTTAAGCTGGCTAAGTGGTGACGGAATGCTAGGAGTTGCTGCACTGCAATTAACGTCGGATTAAAGCTTTTTTAAATTGTTGCTTGTACCCTAGCTTTTTTTGTGAAGCTGTATCGTGATTATGTCAAAGAAAAACAGGCTAATTTTATGCTTAATAATACCGGTAATAGGATTTGTTTTTTATATTAAGGATCATTACTTTAATGATACAAACTCACGAATTGATTTTGAGCCATTCTTCAAAACAAATTCTGCGGGGCCAGACTACATTTCACCACTTCCGGAGTTGACTGACTTTGATAAGGGAGTGTTAAAAGTTTGTGGAGATTGGGGATCATACCCCGATAGAGAAGATTTCAGAGTTTTGCTTAATTGTCCACAGCATCAAGAAGTAGTAGAAGGAATATATGATAGGCTCGATCATCAAGTGATTACACCAAATGCAGACTTGGAGTTATTCAAGGATGAACTAACTAAGATTTG